CAGGTGAGAAAAGGCAGATGTTGAGTTCATGAGCTATTTGACACCAAAGTCTGGATTCATAGTCACTACTCCTTATGGTCTCTGTTTAACAGGAATAAGTGGGGGAACTGAGGCTGGGAGAGTAGTCAGAGTCACGGAGGGGAACTGAGAAAAAGAGAGGATCTGTGAGTTACCCAAGACAATATGGCTAATCTGTGACAGAGCTGAGGCTTAAGCCCCACTGTCCCATTTCCATTTGTCCTCTGGATCATCCTGTGGCTCACTGACTACCGACAAATTAAAAGACCAAGATAGAAGATGTCAGGAAAAAAATCAGCCATCCTCCTGAGAAACACCAGTATCCTGTGTATCTCCTCCATTGCTCTGCTTGTGTTAGGTTTTCCTGGGGATCTGCGTTGGCGGGGGAATTCAGAGTATTTGTGGATAACAGATGTGCATATTTTCTTGGTCTAGTGAGATGAAGAGAAGTGGGAGGAGGTTGGGCACAGAGCCAGCCTTCAGGAGAACTGTCAAATCCTAGGTCTAGTCTACAAGATTCCCTCTAGCTCTCAAATGCACCCCTCCCCAATCCTTTTGCCTAAGCTTCTGTTTGCTTCCTATCAACCATCAAAGTACTTCCACTTATCATGGAGGAAACACCTCAATTACCAGTTGTCTTAGTCAGCTTGGGCTGCCCTAACAAAATGCCACAGACTGGGTGACCTAAACAACAGAAATTTATTTTTTCACAGTCCTAGAGGCTAGAAGTCTGAAATTAGGGTGCCATCATGATTAGGTTCTGGTGGGAGCCCTCGTGTTGACTTGCAGATGTCTGTCATTTCACTGTATGCTCATATGGCTTTTCCTGTGTGTGTGTGTGTGTATTCGTGTGCATGCGTGTGTGTGGAGAGAGACAGGGAGAGAAGGAGGAAAGGAGGGAGGAGGGAGCACCCAAGCTCTTTGGTATCTCTTCTTATAAGGGTACTAAATTCACCATGAAGGCCCTACCTTTATAACCTCATCTAGACCTAATTTTCTTCCAAAGACCCCATCTCCAAATATCATCACACTGGGGTTAGGAACTCAACATATGAATTTTGAAGGGACGCAATGCAGTCTAGCAACAGTTCATGGAATTGGTGCTGTGCACAGAAAGATATGCCTTTATTGACTAGAAAGGGCAAGTTTGAAACCAACCAACGACTTCCTAAAAGTGATACCACAGGCACTGGGTCATCGGGGTGAAGATGGCAAGGTGCTTCTGAAAAAAGGGGCCAGGTTTCCAGGAGCCATGCTGATTGGGAAATGCCCAGAATCAGATAAAGGGAATCCTGTCCCCTGCTTAGCCAGTCCATACTCCTAGAATGGCCTCTGCCAGACTGAGCCAAAATATGTCAAGCCAAACCTCCCATTCATTGGTCTTTGCTTAGCCTCCTAAGCCACAGAGAACAAACACAATCCTTTTTCAAAAATGGGCGTTTAGATGTTTAGCGGTGAAGAGTGGGCCATACTCAGCCCAAGACTTTCTTTCTCACAGCCTCCCACCAGTCCTCACTGGAAATGCTTTCCAGATCCTTGACTATCTGAATGTGGTGTTTAAGTATGGCGCCACCATTCCTGTGACCCGCCAGTGAAGTCCAAAGTCCAATTACCCATGGTGGAGTAGGCTCAGTCACGGGATTTCTTTATAGTACCTGTAAGAATGGACTTGCTTCCATCAGGTAAAGGCCGGGGGCAGGCTCCCCCTCCAGTCCTGTCACCCTCCCCACTGTCAGCACAGCTCAACCTCTGTTTGAAGCCTGCCTTTCATTTTTGATATTAACTTCACAGGTTGCATTAAAACTAATTTGCTTCAACTTGCCCAATTTTAAAATTTGCATGGCTTCTTTATTTATTTACTTTTTAATAGTAGCACAGAGGCTGGGTGTTATTCCTGGATGTTCTTCCTAAACGTAGGTTACCCAGAACCGGATTTGCTGGGCTGAGAAAAGGGAGCACAGCAGCAAGGCTGGCCTGGGCCAATTTGGCAAGTGCTTCCCCAGAGTCTGCCAGTTCTTTCTGAAATCACCGGCAATTCCTTGTTCTGGGTAAAACTGTTTGGAGAACTCGCTCCAAAAATTGATAGGAAGCTGGGAAGAGAGAAATAAGACCCTGCTTAGTGGTCAGAAATCCTGTGTTAGAATCATGACCCAGAGACTAACTCAATGCAGATAAAGGCCTTTGTCCTCTCCCAGCCTTCGCTTCACCATATGTAAAACAGAAGACCAGACTAGGCATTGAGTCCTACAAGGTGTTAATAGGTAATTCACTACAAAGGCGGACTGCTATATTTGGGAAATACATACTTTATCCCCCTCTGAGAAATGAATAAACCATATCAGTATAGCAAAGGGACTTCAAAATCCAGAAGAAAAGAATCTCCCCACTTTGTTTTAATCCAGCATTATTAAATTTCTGGCCATGCAATCTTCCCTATTCACCCCAACCCCTAAGGAAAACCTATCAGCAGCCTCAGAACATCAGAGTTGTAACAGGAAACACAGACTAGCTGGGTTCCTAAAGCTCTTTAAAAACTAACCCTTTGGGGTCTATCATGTAGAAATGTGGATTTTTCTATGTCATTTGACATCAGGTAACTTTATTCTGATGGACGATTTTTCTAGTAAGTGCTGAATAAAACTGTTTCTATTCATGTAAAAAGAGAACCTTTTGTGTATCAGCTATGAAACTTTATTATTCTGTCTCTGAAATACCTTTTTGTGGCCTTCAAAGCATTCTCTAGACTGAAACGGGTCCACTTCTTCAAATGTATCTTCCAGGTCCCCAGAAACCTCCGTCTAGATCTTCAGACTCACCTGTTAACTCTCCACATTGTTCATGAACTCTGTTTTGTCTATTTCTTCCATTCTCATCTACAACCCTGGACAGTCCATGTTCACAATGCCCCCTAGACTGATCAGATACTCGTGATCAAGGCAGTCTTAAACTAGGATCAACACAATCATCTTCCAAAGGCAGGAAGGCAGAAGAATACATTTCAGAAACTATCTCAATTACAAATGTTTAAAAAAAAGTCAGGTTCTTATTAATCCACTGTTTTATCTTAAAACTCACTTTCCCAGAGCAATTCATCCCTCCAACATTTTCGTCAACATTGCCCTATATTTCACTCCAACAGCAACTAGCTATATATTTAGTTAAAGCATTTTGCTTTCTTGTTCCCAAATAAGTGCAGGACCAGATTTAAATTGTATTTTATTTTATTATTTTAAGGCAGCTGACTCTAAGCAAGACCTGGAGAACTAAAAGTAATCATCTTGGCAGATGGTAAAAAGAAACAAGTAACAAAGTGGCTCTATTTTGGGGTTTTGTTGTTGCTGTCATTTTCAAATCAAAGAAGCTTTAGATCTAGATATTTCCTAACTAAATTACAAAATCCTATCCAGAGCACTTTTATTCTCCATGCCCCTCATTTCAACAAGAACACTGGATATTCTGATGAAAATTCTGGAGAACATTTCTAAAAAAGCTTGTCATCAAAAACAATTAAGTTGAAGAAACAATAATGGCTCCCATTTTGGGGGCAATTACTATGCCAGGCCCTATGCTAAGCACTTTCCACATTTATCTCCTCCAAGACTTACAACAACTCTGAGAGGAGTGTATTATTACTGCCACCTGACAAAATAAGAAACAAAGGCTTTGACAGGTTAAGTCACTTGCAAAGATCACACAGGACTCAAAATTACAAAAGTGTCTCCCAAGTCTCTGTTATTAACCATTATGCTCACTTTGAAAGTATTTATTAGGCATCTACCCCAAGAATTTGGATCCAAATACAAATGATCTTGTTTCTCCCCCCCACCCCCACTCCCACCTCAAAGAGCTCAGGGTCTTGATAGTAGATATGATTTTTTTTTCCCCATATGAAGAAGGTACAAAGTCAAAGGGACCAGGGCGCCTGGGTGGCTCAGTTGGTTAAGTGACTGCCTTCAGCTCAGGTCATGATCCCAGGGTCCTGGGATCGAGTCCCGCATCGGGCTCCCTGCTCTGCGGGGAGCCTGCTTCTC